ATTATATCCATACAAAGTTGTCAGGGCGACTTGGTTGTAGGCGCATTGTGTGAATTCCTCTATTTTCATGCTTGCGATGACGCCTAGTGCTGAACCGTTGGCTTTGTACATTCGTAAGGCTAGAAATGGGCACAACTACCGCAGAAGATGACTATGAACAAGGTGTGTCCAAGTGGGACCCTTGACAACGTGAAAGAGATGCCAGAAATAGGTCTAAAGGAGACTGTGACCAAGATAGAGGACACAATATCTACGATTATGCCCATACGTTTATTGGTGTTGAAAATTGCTAATACATTCAGAAAAAGCAGTAATTTATTTCCAAACAATTCACCTCAATCGTGTCAGATTGAATCCAATTCTTCTTGATGTTAACATACTACTTTTGTATTTTGTTACATTGTTACTGAACGCACAACTGTTGATCGACTGGAATTGAATACATTCCGCATTAAGGCCCAATTATTGCATGCATCAACCAATATTGGAGCAAATTAGTAATTGGTTAGTCGAATTGACAATATTTATGTGAAAATGAGTCCAATTTTGCCGCAGAATATGCGTCAACTCGGCTGCATGTTCATTTGTTTGTGCAAGAATTCACATGTCCACACTTCCATCAGCTTAAACGAATTGGGCTGACTCCATTCTGTAATTAGAGTCTGTCGGCAGGTTTCGAGCATTACTTACTCGTCGAGTTTGTCCCATTTTGCCATTCAACAGCGCTCCATCGAGAAGCCATGTCGGCCGGAGCGATGAAGACGAGTGTGGCAGAAATCGGCCCAAATGTGTCGTTTCCGAGGCCTGTGACATCCTCGAGCGCCTCTATGCCTCTCCGATGGCATCGACGATCAGCGAAGACAGCATCAGCGCCTGTGAACTTACGTCCGAGACGACGGAGGCGACATCCGCCAACTGGAGCCTGAAACAGATGCACGACTGTGGCTTCGACGTGGATGCAGCGTCACTTGCTGCTGCCAGGAGCAAGACCGACCCTTCGGAAGAGGCGATGTCAGGTGAGCAAGTTCTCTGATTCTGCGATTTCCTGTCCTTCCACGTGACCGAGCGTCCATTGTCGACTGAAGTGGTAGCCTAGTTTCGTTTTGGATGAAGGAGAAATGGCACAATAACTTACTCTCATTCACGGAAAGGTTGTCTGAAGTGGGAAAAATGAAAACAGAGAAAATGGCGAAAGCATAAAAATCGTAACATTTGAAGCGATTGTAGCATAGAACTGGGAACAAATGAGTTGAAAAAATTCAATTAAAATGTATAATTAAACTATTTTTATCAATTTCCTAATGCAATATAATGAAAAATGCATATTAAAATGAATCAAAAGCTAAACGCTAAATGATAAAGTAATATGAGATGTATTCACCCAA